GAGGAAAACGTGAATAGAGGACTTGAGGAATTTTAAACCGATTGATGGCATTCACAGATTAATCCCGCTCTGTCGCAGACCCTGGAATTTCAAGTTCTCACCGAGAAATCAACCCAGCATGAGCTCCGGGCTCCCCCTGGTGGCTGCTGTGAGCATCGCCCTCCCAGACCGTCTGAGGACCCTTCATCCATCCATCCATCCACCCGTCCATCCCTCCATCCCTCCATCCCACTAACCATCCATCCATTCTTTCCCTTCGCTCTTCCTTCTTTTTCTGTCTGCCTTTTCATTCAGAGCCTGCCCTAAGTTTGACACTTCTCAGCAGCTCTGGCCCCAGGAGGAGGCCACACAGAGCTGGGCATTGTCCCCATTCTGAGACCACCCGGGTGGAAGCAGCGGAAGCGCTACCGCTACCGGCTACCGGATGACTGACAGCAGCCTCGGGTCAAGTGCCCCAGCGGGCGCCCAGAAAGCAGCCATGTGCTCCGCACTCCAGCAGGAGGGTTCCCTCAGACTCATGCAAACAGCAGAGCTAAATGTCTGTTTTCAACGTGATGTATATGAATAAAGGCATTAAAAAAAAGGATTACACTTGTAAAGTGAGGTTTTTTTTTTCCTTCTTCTTGGGAATGGGAATCCTGTTGTATTAGACAGTGGTGGTGACAGGGTAAATATGAGAAGGGAAGGACACAGACCCTAACTTCTGAGGGGAGAGGATTAAAAAAAAATCGTTAAATGGATTTACATAGAAATATTAAAAAAATGTTAACCTGAACGTTTGTCATAGTTCCCGTTCTGTGACTGCCTCGTGTAGGTCACACTCTGCCTGCCTTCTTTCATTCTGGTCACTGGGACTGAGCTGCCCTGTCCCGTAATCATAATGGCCTCTCCACAGTCCTCCTTAGGCCCTCCAGCCTCTTAGGTCCCAGCTGTGGAGATGTGCAAATTCCACATTAGGCTGCTGAAGTTACTGTAGGAGGCACACTTTCTAGCAGGAGACTGACTTTTTTGTGGCACTTCCCAGAATGTTTTTCAGTTTCCAGAATGTCCCACAGGCTTCAGACATTGATCTCCTCAGGGTAACCAGCTTCTCTCAGGTGTGAGCAGCCTCCTTCATAGTCCAAATTAACTGTGTGAATATCATATTTGTCTTGAAAAAGTTAGGATCAAATGCAGTGATTTGCAAAAATTTGTATTATAAGGTCCTATAGAGAAATTAAAGATGGAAATTAAGCATTTCACCCTCAGAAAAAGGTAGATGCACAAAACTTTCTTCACAATTTCGAGAGCTCTGAATGCACTAAAGTCTTCTGGTGGATTACCTAGGGCTCCATAGATCCTACTTAAGAGTCTTGCCGAAATGAACCAATCCTTGTATGCACCTATGAATAATAAAAGAAAAATGAAAAAAAAAAAAGAAATGGGAAGAAAAAAAAAAAAAGAGTCTTGCCTCTGGCACCTGCACACCCATGTTTATTGCGGCACTATTCACAATAGCCAAGTTATGGAAACAAGAAGAACGAAATGTTATCATTCGCTGGTAAATGGATGGAATTGGAGAACATCATTCTGAGTGAGGTTAGCCTGGCCCAAAAGACCAAAAATCGTATGTCCTCCCTCATATGTGGACATTAGATCAAGGGCATACACAACAAGGGGATTGGACTTTGAGCACATGATAAAAGCGAGAGCACACAAGGGAGGGGTGAGATAGGTAAGACACCTAAAAAATAGCTAGCATTTGTTGCCCTTAACGCAGAGAAACTAAAGCAGATACCTTAAAGCAACTGAGGCCAATAGGAAAAGGGGACCAGGAACTAGAGAAAAGGTGAGATCAAAAAGAATTAACCTAGAAGGTACACACACACACAGGAAATTCAATGTGAGTCAATCCCTGTATAGCTATCCTTATCTCAACCAGCAAAAACCCTTGTTCCTTCCTATTATTGCTTATTCTCTCTACAAACAAAATTAGAAATAAGGGCAAAATAGTTTCTGCTGGGTATTGAGGGGGTGGGGGAGAGGGAGGGGGCGGAGTGGTGGTGGGGAGGGGGTGGGGGCGGGGGGAGAAATGACCCAAGCCTTGTATGCACATATGAATAATAATATAAAAGAAAAGAGTCTTGCCTTCTTAATGGCTTGCCCCTGCGGTCTGGAGAGTTTATGGTATTGCCTCAGTTCTTTAACTAAAAAAGCACATTCACTAAGTACCATGGCTGTTTCTGAAATATGGCCTTTGAGATCTTACTCAGCTCTTCTGCAGATGTTGGTAGTATATCACAGAGATAGCAAAGCACTTAGAGGGCGAATATGGGAGGTTAGTGGACTCCAGAGGACTACCCGATCATATGGTAAGATCAGAAAAGAGAGATTCTAAACTGAGAAGGTCACACCTACAGGACTATCCGAGGAACAAGAAGACTGTTGTAGTGTCCAATCAGAACTCTCGCTGAATAATTAGTGCTATAGTACACTTAGTCTCATGCATGTGCAATCTAAAAACACTCTTTGTTCTTTCTCTTACTCTTATTGAGGCGTGTGCATATGCTTCTCATACAACAAGATTGAAATAGGGGCAAAATAGTTTCTGCTGGGTATTGAGGGGTGGGGAGGAGAGGGAGGGGGTGGGTGGCCAAGCCTTGTATGCACATATGAATAATAATAATAAAAGAAAAGAGTCTTGCCTCTAATGGCTGCCCCTGCAGTCTGGAGAGTTTATGGTATTGCCTGCCAGTTCTTAACTAAAAAGCACATTCACTAGTACCATGGCTGTTTCTGAAATATGCCTTGAGATCTTACTCAGCTCTTTCTGCAGATGTTGGTAGTAATCACAGAGATGAATCTACCTAATTTGAAGGGTAGATAGAAAATCACTTTTTTTTTTTTTAGAAGAGCCCCAGGGTGGAGTTACACTTTACAAATCCCAACACAGAAATGGTTGCATTTATCTGAGAAATCTGAGTCTGACCTGGACAAGTAAGTGCAAGCTGTTACCACGACATGCTTCCTCATCTGGTTGGTTGTGCTGACTCCCTGAGTTGGTTCTGCCAAGATTTTACAGTGCTGCATGGCAACCCCTGAGCTCATTGCAATACTTCTATGAATGGAAAATTTGTTTTCCTTCGGGAGAAAAGAATAATAACAACATGCAGAGATATTAATGTAAAACTATTTTTTTCTTTATTGAAAATACACCTACAAAGTAACACTTCCCAGTCCACACTGGGTGCTTGTATATGCAGAACCTGTGACAGACAGGCAAGAGGGTTCGCCCTACAGGACCTGCTTTCATAAGAAATGGTTAGTATAAAAAACATCACACTGTGTAACAGCATTAATTTAACAGGATTAATTTTTACTCTACTAGTGTCATGAAATGACAGCCACGTACATTAACGTTTGTAGTGTATTTCCCACAGAGAACCGTGACATTAAATGGTTATCAGCCACAGCCTAACATTAACTTTTATATGCCCATGATGCTCAAGATCCTACATAAAAATCTCTAATTGTGTATCAGAGGATGCATGTCTAGATTTTCAGTTTGTTAGCAAAATTACGTCCATTCTTTCACCATTTTCGGTCAGAAACTCAAACACAGCTGGTATTGTTTGATGCTCTCACTAAGTGTCTTTGACGGGCTATTCCTTAGGGGGTAGAAATGAATCTCCTTTAACCTGGGAGCTGCCTTGCTTGAAATTAATGTCCCTGCTGTCTTTTCTTGCAATCTCATTGACATTGTCTGCATACTGATTCATCTTCCACCACTTTTCTTAGGGACACAAACAAAACTAAAGCAAACTCCACTGTAGCTGAAAGTTTTGGATGATTTGGTAAGTGGAATTCCAACACAAAGAAGTATTTTGTTTCCCTCATTCTAAGAGCTCCTGATTAAAGCAAAAAATAAAAAATAAATAAAAATATTTTAACCCCCCCCCCTCAAATTTTCAGATGAGACCACCCACCCAGCTCATGGACCCATACTAGAGAGCTAGTACATTCATCTGATTTCAAAATATGTAAGAAATGACCTTATATTTTGGTATGACAGTTCTTTGGGGATTGATTGGGAGCTGAAGAGAAAAAGTATTTCAGGTTAAAAAAAAGGATCAAAGTGAAGCTCTTCTTTGTTGTTCTTTAAAGAAGACCTTTACTCTTGATGTTTTAAAATCCTCCCTTTATAATTCAACCATAGTCTATTCTTTCCCAGTTCTTTAGTGTTCTGTAGTAAGACCATGAACAGCCTTGCTAGTTGCTAGTCTTCAGTGTATTTCCTAAAAGTAATTGTCAGTTGAGGAGTGGTGGCAGACAACCTTCTCAGAGCAGTGCCTTCTGTTTGAGAAGAGCAAGCAAGAAGGGAATACTGCCCCTGTTGGAAAGAACTGGGCAAAGGGTTTCATGAGTTATCCCACTCCTGAAATGGCCTGCTGCCTGCAGACTTGCATAACCGACATTTTGGACACAGGACCTGGTGAGCCACACACCCTGCCCCTAGACAGAAATGTCTACTACCATCAAGAGTCCTTTCTGAGCATCCCATGCTCCATGGAATGACACTTGTACAGGGTATTCCAAGGGGAAAATTGAGGGCAGGCCTTTTTTTTTTATGTCACCAGAAGTCTGGGCTAGAGAGATGAAAGACATCAAAGTAAGTCACTCATTGTAAGGATGAGGACACTGAGGCCTCAGAGATGAGGTTTGACTCACCTGAGGCCACATGGAAGCTTCAGCTTCTGCCCTCCTTACAGCTGTGCTAGGTGTGTATGTATATTGTCCTGCTACCAATAAAATAAGGACACAAGTCAGAGGAAAAAGGGAAAAATCCTTCTATCCAACTGATAACTGTTGTTCATCAAGTTGTTACATTTTGAGACTAAAACTCAAATGTGTGCTCAAGGATTTTAAAATTTTGTAAGCTGGTTAAAGAATGTTTTGGGCCTACTATTCAACTTAGAAAGCAATCACATTTTAAGGATCATGTACCACACAAATTTGTACGTTCTGATCAAGATTATTTCTGATCCAAGTACCTTATTGTGTAAGACTAATATGAAATGATTTCAAAATTTCAAATGTGGGATGAAACCTATGCATTTTGGCTGCTGCAAAATCCTCCCTTATTTTTGGATGAATCCTATCAGAGCATGGAGGAAAAAGGAGGGAAGGGGCTCACTGGAGGAGTGAGCTTAATGAGATGGACACATTTCATAATGGTTTTCCAACACCTGGTGATCAAGATAGCATTTCTCGGCATTAGTCTACATCTTGGTTTCACTGTCCATGGGTTTCTCAGTTTCATTGTCCTGGGCAATCAGCTGATATGGTTTCTTCATTTCATTTTCTTCAATCACCGAGTTACCCATTTCAACATCTCGGTTCTTCAGTTCATGTCTGGACAAGTGCTCCACAATCCCTGCTCCAAGGGAGTCACCTAACACATTGGTGGTGGTTCGGAGGCGGTCCCTGAGGGTGGGGTGGGGAGGAAGGAAAAGGGAGGCTCCTGTGAATTAAAGAATTTCAGCAGGTATAGAGAACTAGCTAGAGAAGTCTTTAGAGGCATCTCTTCAAGTTCAGTGTGGTGTAGCTGCCAACTGTACAGTTACATACATAGAATGCCTATATTAGTAGCTATTAAGTTATAAGGACACAGACAATTTCAGGACGTGGAGGCAGGAGGTTCAAGGTCAGGCTGGGCAAAGTTAGTGTGAGACCCTCTCTGGGAAAACAACAAACAAACCCCCAAACTAACAGCAAAAGGACAGGGGGTGTGGCTCAAGTGGCAGAGTGTTTGCCTAGCAAGCATGAGGCCCTGGGCTCATTCCCCAGTACTGTTAACACTTTTTTCTCTTTCCTCCAACTCACCATCTTTTATACCTGTGGTCCTCAAAGTGTGATTCATGGACTCTTGATGGTCCCTGAGGTCAAAACTGTTCTCATAAGAATATTAAGATCTCATTTTCTGCATTTCACCATCATTTTCTCATGCACATTTTAGGGGAGGTTTGCAAAGACTACATGATGTGTGTGATACCACAACACATTGGATGTGCTGGATGCCAGCTGTCGAGTATTAAGCTAGACATTGAGGAGACTTACGTAGTATAAAATGTGGCCATTCTTTTCCCTAAAGTTTTGGTTTGAAAATGGTTGTATTTCACTAAATTTGCTATTTGTAACTGGGTGTGGTGGTGCATGTCTATAATCCTAGCACTCAGAAAGTGGAGGCAGAGGATCTAGAGTTGGAGGCTAGCCTTGACTACACAGTGAGTTCAAGCTTGAGCTACATAGACCCTGTCTCAAAAAACCAAGGGCTGGGAATATATCTCAGTGAAAGAGCCCTTGCCTAGAATGTGCAAGGCCCTGGGTTCAATCTCTAGCACCAAAAAAGAAATAAAAACTGTTATCTGTGCTAACACATAATGAATTTATTATTGTAATCTTTAAACGAATTAAAAATGGCAATCTTTTCTAATATGGTAAGTATTGATGGATATAACCCACATCGATTTTTTTTAAAAAGCCTTTTTGGACCTCAATAATTTTTACATAAAAAGATAAAAGATTTTGAGAATAGACACTTAAATTCTATAAAAATGCTATGTTAACAGTGCTGAATAAGAGTCAGATGGTGGGTGGAGTGCTTGCTTAGCTTTTAATCATCTTCGTACCAGTGGGAGGTAGAAGACACTAGCATCCTCATTTTACTGGGGAGGAAATGAGGGTGGCAGGGTAGCCTGCCTAGTGTCACAGGGCCAGGATACATCCTGAGCTCCTACTGTGCCCCTTGGGTTTAGTGTACAGTGTTCCACTCTTCCTGCTCATTAGTTCTAGTGAAGTCAGCACATGCAGACTCCAGGACCCAATGTGTTCTTCTAGGCTCTTTCTTTGGGCATCCTGGGAGAAAAATTTCAAAAGTGAAAGGGAACTTGTGAGAGACAAGGGGCAGAGAATTTCTGCTGGAAGAGTGAGGGCAGAGGACACGGGGCTGGCCCTACAGGTTAGGGTCAGGGTATGGAGGGTACATTTCTTGGAACTTTCCCCAGAACCCTGAGTCAATTCCATTTGATGCTTGTTCTCTCTACTGTCTGCATGGCCACCCCTCACCCTGTGGGGCTCAGATGGGAACATCTGCCGTGCATTACACCGTTGGAATGGGAAACACAAGAGGAAGGGCCTGAGCTGGCATGTGGGGCTTGCAGCTCTGTTCCAGTCACCATGGGATGTGTTGTGCAATTCAGAGAAGGTCTGGCTGATTTATGTTGGCTTTGCAGACATCAGGTTTCCCAACTCTGAATGGCTTTATGGAGTGAGAAGTAAAGCAGCCAGATGCACCCTGCAGACTGAGAACGGAGTGAGTGTGCATGGCCTCTTGGGCTGGGTCTTCTGATAAGGGCCAGGGCTCAGGCAATGGGGACGACTTAATTACAAGACAAGCTGCCCCCGTTCTTTGAGTTCTTTTGGCAGGTGTGCCACAGGCTGCCTGGCACCCTGGAAGGACAGAGGGGGACTGTGACATGAGCCAGAATGCATCCACGTGTACTCACAAGAACCAGTCCACTGCGATGATGAGTGTGATGTCATCAGTGGGCAGGCCCACAGATGTCAGCACAATGACCATGGTGACCAGGCCTGCCTGTGGAATCCCAGCTGCCCCAATACTCGCAGCCGTGGCTGTGATGCTGTTAAAAGAAATCCCAAAAGAGAAAACATTTTTACAATTCCCCCCAGTGGAGAGCAAAACACATTTGCCTTGACTCCTGATTTGTTATTAGAAAGACACACTTCAGAAAAATGGAAGAGTTTAAAAAATATTCAATCATATTACTTATCATGTGCTTATTTAGTGTCATCTGATATACTAAGCATGGTTGATCTCATTTGACCTGCACTTAGAGGTTTCATGAAGTTGTTTCTACTGTATTCACTTTTCGTATCCTGGAAAGTATTGTGTAAGGGCTAATGTGCAGTTGACGGGGTGTAGCTCAGTGGCAGAATGCTCGTCTAGCATGTGTGTGACCCTGTGGTTGATTGGAAGCACTGCAAAAGAACTCACAGATAAATTTGAACATTTCAAATGCAGTAGTTACAGTAACAATTTGTTTTGAATAATTCCTCTACCCCAAAGTTGGGTTGTATAGAGAGTGAATTTGTATGATTAATGTGGTCAGAAAAAATTAAATTTATTAATTCAAAAGCAAAATATTTGTGAATAAAGTTCAATAGCAGTGTAATTTTTTTTTTTTTGGTATGGAGTCAGTGTCATTTGCCAAGTGTATTACTTGTCTGCGACTCAAGTTTGTTAAGTCTATTTGATAGTGTAATTTGAGAATGAAAAATGTTTATAAATAGCAAATCATTAACCAGGTGTAAAGTGGCATTGGTAAACTAATAAGTCTGTTGCAGAAACTGCTCATGGTTCACCATACTGTTTCCCTTTCATGGTACTAGCATGGTTAGCTGGTGTATGTCCATCCAGGATGCAAACTACACTTCCCAGCCTCCTTTTGGAGCTTAGACTAAGTTCTGGCCAACGAGACATACATAAAAGTGATCGACCAACTTTCAGCCTATGTCACTTCCCCTTTTCTCACTGCTAAACTTTGGGGGTGGTGATGAACCATCCTAGACCACCTGAATAGAGTAACACTCAGGGACTTTGGAACCATAGCTTTAGTCACTTACACTGGGACTCCACCAGCCTTGAGGGCTTTCTGGAGCAGCTGAAAGAGAAATGCAATTTTTTGCCTTAAGTCACTGATACTGTTGCCATTATTTTTAACTCTGGCAAATGAAACTGAACTTTATCATAACTTGGCTTTTTCATTAATATGCAAGGTATACCCAAGAATAGGTTACAGGTGAGCTGAGATATTGATCTCCTAGCCCCCAGCGTAGCCCCCACTGGAGCTCCCAGAACCCTGAGGTTAGTCAAAGACCGCTCGTCATGATCAAACTTACCTTTTTTTACTCCAATGCGTCCTACAACTATGCTGTTTTCCAACAGCATATGACATATAAACATTACAAAACTCATTTCTAAGTAAACATAGAAAAAAATATGGGGTGACATACCATAAAACAAATGCAGGACATAAATCTGGATTTGATCTTGGTTTGGGAGGAAAAAAAGGCTGTAAAAGACATTTTGGGGACATTTGGGGAAATCTTTAAGATTCTTACTACTGTGGATATACAGAACAATATCCTTATTCTTAGGAGCTGCATGCTGAGTGATGTATAGGTAAAATGTCATGGTGGCAGACAAAGAGAGAGAAGTGGCAAAGATGGTAAAATGTTAACAATTTTTATGTCTAGGTAGAGGATGTTTGTAATTAATATTGTTTCAATTTTTCTATAAGTAGTACTACTTTCAGAATAAAAAGTGAAAAGTAAGGAAAATATCTGACTTATTTTGGTTTCCAAAATATATTGTTAGTAATAACTAGAACACAAGCCCATAATAATGAAGAGCACAGCTGGCCTGGATTGCAAGGCTTAAAGTCTTTTGTTTCCATTAGACTTATCGGTCCCTTGTGCGCAGTCACTTTCGGTTGGCAAAAAGGGATAGAAGGTTCTATTCACATATACACATGGTTATGATGGGCTATTTTGGGAAGGTTATAAGAGATACTGGTTGCCTCTGCCAAGGAAACTAAGAGATTAGGGGAAGTTATGGAAAGGAAAATTACTTTTTTGTGGATACCTCCAATATAATAGTTAAAAATTCTCCACAAAAATCAAATTCTCAACCTTACTTGTCACTAGGCTCATCTATCTCATACTGCCTAAAAATTAACCCAAGAGAAAAAGTTAATTCAGTTTTTAAGTATATTTTAAGTATATTGTATTTTCAAGATTGTCTATAAAACTTGACCTATTTTAATGCTTGTTGAAATTGAATAACTTCACTTTTAAAACAGAAATGCTGAAACTTTGTATTTCACAGACATTAAAAAGAATGAGCTGAATATATTTATATATCCAAGGGGTACTCAGTGTATGGGACACGATTAATTACAGAAGTGTGTGCAAGTCCATGTGTAGAAAAGGTCTTTCAAAACCAAACGCAAATAACTGTCACCTACAGAAGGATGCAGAGCGATATGGTGGCAGGCACACTTTACTTTTTACACTTCTATGTTACTTGAATTTTGTCAATAGTGAATGCATATGTGAAAGAAAAACATGAATGAAAATATAAATCTGCAAACAAAACTTTTCTCCAAATCCGTTTATGTGTGATATCCTTCCCAACACGGTTCTTTAGTCAACTTTTATCGTCCTCTCATCTGTTAAAATCATTTAAAAAAAAATGTTAGACCTCTTTCCTTGTACCTGATGGTAATAATCTGTCCAAAGTTTAGGTCAAAGTTGTTAACTTGAGCGATGAAAATGGCAGCCAAAGCCTCATAGAGGGCGGTCCCATCCATGTTAATAGTGGCCCCCACAGGGAGCACAAATCTGGTAATGCGTTTGTCGACACCATTGTTCTCTTCCAGGCACTTGAAGGTGATGGGTAGGGTGGCAGAACTGAGAACAGTAAAACAGAGCATGTCAGCTGAGCATCCTCTTGGTAATTCTGACTGTGTCTGTGTTTGGTCTTTTGGACAGACAGTTCCTTCCTCTACCGTGTCCTAACTTAAAGGGAACCAAGTCAGCATTTGTACAAATAGGGGAACAGGGCTAGGAACAGTGTGGTCCCCTCACGAGGTTACTTGGCAGCTCTCCTGCTTCTGGGTTCCTCTGAGGATTCTCTGTGATTATTCCCACATCGTATAGCCTGTGCCAAGTCACTCTGCCACTTCCACATCAGGCAGATGACAACTGGAAGTGGGGGATAATGGATATTTTACTTTCATTTTATCTCCTCCCAAATGATACACAGTTTATTCCCTGAATCCCATAATATGATCCACAATAGAGGTCAAAAAGCCAATTCATTACTCCTGAAGTATAACACCCAGAACAAAATGCTTCTACCTACCTCCAACCTGGTTCAAGTAAAGTTTTAGACACGTTTTCTTAGAAGAGTAGGCCACACATGTACACGTACCTTGAAGAAGTCCCTAGGGCTGTGATGAGTGCTTGCAGCAACCCTCCAATGAAAACCCAAGGGTTCTTCCGGGTTACCAGGAAGTAGAGGAGCGGCAGGACAATGACTGCGTGAATGAGTAGGCCAACAATGACCGTCACTGTATACATGGCAAGCTGCCCCCCAATCACACCCATGTCTTCCATCTCAACAATTTTTCCTGCGATCAGGAACAGGATGCCCACAGGGGCGTACCTGGAGAAGCAACATATGTACAATTGCAAGTCTGATTTCCAACAGCTGTTCCATGTCAGTCACCAAGCAGTGAGAAAAAGGGGCAGGTTGAGAAGAGTGGATTTCCAACATTTTTTGTCAAGGACACTATTAGGACTTGTAGAACCTATAAATTTCTTTCTTTTCTATTTTAAAATTTCCCTTGGGTTGTGCTTTTCTCTCACTCAGCATTCCTGTAGGACATTTTTTTCCCTGTACACTTGTGAAAAAAGGCAGGCACAGAAGTTTTGGTATCCATTTTCCTAGATAGTTTTCCTTTCAATGTACCTGGTCACTTTTGTGGCATTCAGGTGTCATTCATTCCCCTTGCCTCTTGACCCCTGCTAAAGACAGAGTTGTCACAATTCATCATAACATTAGCTGAACTTTTGGAAGCATTTTCCACATGATGTCTAGCTTCCCAAGTTAAAGCAAGAGGCACACAATGTCATGGCCCTGTTTCAGACTTGCAGCCAGCTCTCTTATTCTAGGGCTACGTCTATATACCATTTATAATCTTACTTAGTGTTTTTCTTCAAATCACCTGTTTTACTTAAGTTAATTTACTTTCAGAGGAAATTTGATGTGACTGTGAAAACCAAGAGCTAGTACCACTTGCCATAAATAGAAGACCACAAAATAAATTCGGAGTTATTAAAATTAATAATGTGCAGGCATGTGTACGTGCGGCCACAGTCAGTGTTCTAGTTAAGCAGTTATTACTCACAGGCTGCTACTCCAATAGTGAGCTTTCTCTCTGTGAGAATGAGCAACTGACCACGAACTGACTTGTACATACTGAAATAACCTTGTTTGCTCAAAGGGCCTGCCGTCCGGCTTCTAACTCCCTTTGTGTGATGCGTGCAGTGAACTACAACCAAACCCATTACTGAAGACAGAAGCAAATCACCCTTAAGAAGAAGGGTCTGCTGGGAACTGCAGAGGACATGTTGTGACTTGCAAACTACAATGCTTCTTTCACTAGTCCTTTAAAAATACGGGCCAGGAAATCAGAGAAGTACCTGTTTTCAGAAATGTAATAACTCAAAGTTGAATGTGTAGGCGAATGTACAGCTAGAAAAGCTACAAGTGAGGTTCATTCAGTGGCCTTGAATGGGCTTCTTTCATAAAAGAGGTGAAAGGTGGAGGCATTTTAATAATATGAAGATAAATGTCCACTTTCAGCTCAGCCAGAATTTCAAACGAGCTTTCCAATTGGACGCTCCTGTGGAGAACACATTCTGACCTGTCTTTGTGCCCAAGTTCATATCCGTCTTGCACAAACTCCTAAAAAAGTGGATTTCTCTGGGCTTTGGTGGCTTTAGAGGTAAAGGACATTTTTAATCATGTTGGAGAGTGAGTGCTTTTCTTAGCAATTGATGCCTTCCCGCCTCAGGTGCCAAGGAGGAGTTTGGATATTAAAAACAAAGGATAAAAGAAAAATAACCCCCACATGAGGTCTAAACCAAGCAAAGGGATCTCTCCCTGCTGGGGAGTTTACTTTCCAAGGTCAATGTTCCCCTTTGGATTTAGTCTTTTCCTTTGTCTCCTGCTCTGAACTTTATTAAAGAAAGGTCTGTTATAAATTGTGGCTTAGCATTCCCTAAAACGTCCCATGAATCCTTGTGTACATTGCTGCAGAAGTGCCATATGTATTTCTTTCTTAGGACTCAGAGAGGGAACTCATTTCTCCCCCCCCCCCGCCCCCATCATGGTTTACATTCTTTGCATTTGCTTTTTCCTCTGCTGGGAATGTTTTCATTTGGAATTTGGTGGGACTGGCTGCACCTAGTCATTCATGTCTTAACAAAAAATGTCACCTTATAGAGCCTTTCTGTACCATTCAAGGGAAATTTCATGCCTTTCTCCCCAGTAACCTGCTATCTTATTTTTTCACAGCATCTGTGATCAAGAATATGGTTAGTTTAATTTGCTTATTCACATTGTCTCCCTGAAAAGCACGTAAGATCCAGGTCATCCTTGAGTTCTCTTCATTGCTGTATCCACGGAACTTGGTGCTCTACGCTTGTCATATAATAAAACACACAATAACTATGTCTGAATGAATAACTAAGTAGATGTAAAGTGGGATTGACACTTTTTGGGGGTAAAGGAGTTGACACTTTTTGGAAATAAGGAAGTGAACTTATTAAGATAGGCTTCTGATATATTCAAGGCCTCTACAGACCTAGAAACGCATTGTTTTCCAAAGTGTGATCATTGCAACTGCCCATTAAGCCTGGTGGCATCTTCCTCGGTACAGAACATGTGTTGATGGCAATAAGCATCTTTTTTGTAGCTGTATAGCAAATGGAAACATACCACATTATCACTGCTACCAATCTCATGATGGCTTCATTAAGAGAATCAAAGAAGTCTCTCAGGGCTTGTCCCTGCTCTTTCATGTTTCCAATTACAAAACCAAAGCACATGGAGAAGACAACGAGTCCCAGGGCGTTGACTCCATTCACAGACCCAGGAACGGGAACCAGCTCTTCCCTGATGCGGGTGAGTGTCTCCATGGCCTCTGACACGTTGTTTATCACGGCGCCCACGAGTGTTTCATTGGACTGGATGGGCACTTTAAAACTTCTCTTCTCATAGTTGGTTTTAAACTTAAAAATAAAAAGCACAACAGAAATTGATTTTTATTTTTTCTTTATACTTTCCTGCTTTCCAAATTTTCTATACTGATACACATTATTTTGTATGCAGAGGATAGGGTTATAGAAAGTATCTATGTCTGTATGCATGTATCTATCTATCATCAATCTATCTAATGTGTGGCAAATCCCTATTCCTCAACAGAGACACACACATTTATACAAATCATAACACACACATGCTCAAATACATATGAATAACACATACACTCAAATGTGTAACAAATCATAATAGGACAGAGATATCTGGTTAAAAATATTGGACTGAACACACACACATGCTTTTGCTTTGAAACCCTAATAAAATGATAATGAAGGGCTTTTTAAAAAGCCATAAATCTAAATGTTCTCAAGTTCATCATGCACAAAACACCTGTCATCCTTTCTCTCGTATTCTACAGCCGTGAAACAGGGATAACTAAGCTGGTTCTACCTTATGGGGTTGTTGTGATGGTCAAATTAGTCATAATATATGGGAACGCTGTGTAAACTTTAAAATATTATATTACATTGAGAAAATACCTTTGGGGATTAGACCTGGTTGAAGATTTCAGTGGGTATTAAAAATGAAAAATCTCAAAACCAGGCTTCAAGCCATTCCTGTTATTCTCAATTCTTAAGAATAGGTGACTAATTAATAGCTGACAATGACAACTCACTTTCTCTAAGTCTGTGGTGACTTTTCTCTGGCCCATAACTTTTGCATAGATGCCCCAGGCAGGAGAGCTGGTAACACTGCTGTGGCCACATTAAATAATTAACCCATCCATCTCTGGTTTTAAGGAGAGTAGAACTCTTGGCCTTGAGAGTGATGGTGATAAGGCATGAGGCAGGGCAATAATGTGTGAATGGTGATTGTATCTAGAGTCTAGGGGAGAAATGATGGCCACACGTGAGGTGCTTAGACATGTCTTTGCCAAGAGTAAGTGGGAGACTTTCTGGTCCATTGGTAACTCACTATTCCCAAACAAGGACACAGCCAACTGTCAATACTGAGGACACATGCCTGAACACAGTGGTACTGCTGGTCATTTCAGACAACCAACAAAGTCCCATTGCAGTCAGCTCTCAAAGCTATTCACTCTGTTGGGTGCTTATGCATTTTACATTGTCCTGGGGAAGATTTTTTAATCTTGATTATCCTTTAATATGCCTTCAACCCTTTCCCCTTAGACACAGTTTACAGTCTGTTCAGAAACTGCAAAATCATCTGCATTCTGGTCTAAGCCAAATAGATCTGGGAGATGCATTTGCTTCCCCTTCAAAAATCCTGTAAATGCAATCCCAAACCAAATACAATAAATCTGTATGAGTCAGCACTTTTTCCATCAGAAAGATCTGGAAATCAGCATTTTTGATATCACCCAGTGCCAGCTGATGAGCTGAAATTACTCAGTCCCATGGTGCTGGAATTGCCTGGTTTGATTGAAAGGGGTTTATTATTTACGTCTCTAGTTGATTTGAAACAAAAAAAAGTTAGATTTTGGGTGCTTAGGCTTTTTTTTTTTTTTAAATAAGATTCTGTCAGATCTTGCAATGTGTACATGTATTACTTTTTAAAAATAGTCTCAATAAATTTTTTGAAAGGGAAAAAAATAAAGACGGGTCTCCAAGCATGGTTCTCCATGAAGTTGGGGTTTTGTTTTGCTTGTTTTACAAGTCCTAAGCGGAAAAGTCATAAAATTACAACAGAGGTGAATTGACTCCATCTGGAGACGTGTTTGAGAATAATTATTTAATCCAGAATGTCTGTTTCCCTTTTCACATTTTGGGCAACAAGGCCTTCAAAGTCAAGTGAGGTTAATTCTGCCTGTATTGAATTCTAATTGTACTAAATGAATGAATTTTATCCCCTAGTAGTAGAATGCATTTGTGTCCACTATGCAGGGATCAAATTGCTGCTTGGATTTGAGGTTGGAAGGAAGTGGACCTCACCATAGCTTCCAGGTACCTCTCATCATCCTGGGTGTCAATTTCTAGGAAACAGAATGAAATAGTAGGAAGAGGATAGAATTTGTAGTCAACACAATGGATTCGAATTCTGGATCTGCCATCTACTACTTGTTCGAACTCGTGCCTGTTACACAATGTCCCTGTTTACACATGAGTGGCCTCATCAGCGAAACAAAGACAGGGATACTCATCACATTTATGTGAAGACTAAATATAACATTTGTGCTTGGCACACAGCAGGCAGTCCATAAATGATGATCCTATTCTTTTCTGATATATAGGTCTCCTTTAGAATCCCTAAGGCCTTTAGAAGACTTTATTTTTTTGGTGGGCCTGGGGTTTCAACTCAGAGCCTTGTACTCGCAAAGCAGGGGCTCTACCACTTGAGCCACACCTCTAGAAAACTTTGCGTTTTTAAGCTAATTTTATTTATTTGGTGGTACCTGGCTTAAACTCAGGGCCTGGTGTTTGGTAGGCAGGTACTCCAACACTGTTGAACCCTTAGTAGACTTTTAATGAACAGTCCAGTGATTTTTAAATCAAAAACAGAAACTGAAATAATCTAATGTTCTTTAAAGCAAGTTGTTAATGTATTATGTATTGGAGTTTGCTTTTGCATGTGAGCCATGGAGGAAAGAGAAAAAAAGAAACGGTCTTATGATTAGCTCTCTTAAAAGCAATAGAGACTGATGTGCTATTTGTGTGCAAGACACACTGTGTCTGGCAACTACAAAGTCTTCAATACAAGGTAAAAACTACCCCATCCTCAAAATTTCCCACAAAACCCTGTGCTTTCTCTCTGGTTGGCAAGAGAAGTGTTTCTCATTACAGAGAAATGGGGGAGAAAAGAAGGATCTACTTGGTTTGATATGCCAAAGAGGAATTTTAAAAGTGAATTAGTGGCTATAGAATGTTTACCTGTTTAAAGCAGGCTTCCACCAGATTTGGAGGGAACATGTTCCTGCAAAGAAAATAGCAGTCACTTAAATGGATTAAGAAAATGTGGTATCGTCGATACTCCCAAAAGTAATCTACATGTTTACTGCAATTCCCATCAAAATTCCAATGACATTCATTAGAGAGATTGAAAAATCTACTGTTAAATTTATATGGAAACACAAGAGGCCACGAATAGCCAAGGCAATACTCAGTCAAAAGAACAATGCAGGAGGTATCACAATACCTGACTTCAAACTATATTACAAAGCAATAACAATAAAAACAGCATGGTACTGGCACAAAAACAGACATGAGACCAGTGGAACAGAATAGAGGACCCCGGAATGAAGCCACACCACTATAACCAACTTGTCTTTGACAAAGGAGCTAAAAATATACGATGGAGAAATAGCAGCCTCTTCAACAAAAACTGCTGGGAAAACTGGTTAGCAGTCTGCAAAAAACTGAAACTAGATCCATGTATATCACCCTATACCAAGATTAACTCAAAATGGATCAAGGATCTTAATATCAGACCACAAACTCTAAAGTTGGTACAGGAAAGAGTAGGAAATACTCTGGAGTTAGTAGGTATAGGTAAGAACTTTCTCAATGAAACCCCAGCAGCACAGCAACTAAGAGATAGCATAGATTAATGGGACCTCATAAAACTAAAAAGCTTCTGTTCATCAAAAGAAATGGTCTCTAAACTGAAGAGAACACCCACAGAGTGGGAGAAAATATTTGCCACTATACATCAGACAAAGGACTGATAACCAGAATATACAGGGAACTTAAAAAACTAAATTCTCCCAAAACTAATGAACCAATAAAGAAATGGGCAAGTGAACTAAACAGAACTTTCTCAAAAGAAGAAATTCAAATGGCCAAAAACACATGAAAAAATGCTCACCATCTCTAGCAATAAAGGAAATGCAAATTAAAACCACACTAAGATTCCACCTCACCCCTGTTAGAATAGCCATCATCAGCAACACCACCAACAACAGGTGTTGGCGAGGATGCGGGGAAAAAGGAACCCTCTTACACTGTTGGTGGGAATGTAAACTAGTACAACCACTCTGGAAAAAAATTTGGAGGCTACTTAAAAAGCTAACATTGATCTACCATTTGATCCAGCAATACCACTCTTGGGGATATACCCAAAAGACTGTGACACAGGTTACTCCAGAGGCACCTGCACACCCATGTTTATTGCAGCACTATTCACAATAGCCAAGTTATGGAAACAGCCAAGATGCCCCACCACTGACGAATGGATTAAGAAAATGTGGTATCTATACACAATGGAATTTTATGCAGCCATGAAGAAGAACGAAATGTTATCATTCGCTGGTAAATGGATGGAATTGGAGAACATCATTCTGAGTGAGGTTAGCCTGGCCCAAAAGACCAAAAATCGTATGTTCTCCCTCATATGTGGACATTAGATCAAGGGCAAACACAACAATGGGATTGGACTTTGAGCACATGATAAAAGCGAGAGCACACAAGGGAGGGGTGAGGATAGGTAAGACACCTAAAAAATTAGCTAGCATTTGTTGCCCTTAACGCAGAGAAACTAAAGCAGATACCTTAAAAGCAACTGAGGCCAATAGGAAAAGGGGACCAGGAACTAGAGAAAAGGTTAGATCAAAAAGAATTAACCTAGAAGGTAACACACACGCACAGGAAATCAATGTGAGTCAATGCCCTGTATAGCTATCCTTATCTCAACCAGCAAAAACCCTTGTTCCTTCCTATTATTGCTTATACTCTCTCTACAACAAAATTAGAAATAAGGGCAAAATAGTTTCTGCTGGGTATTGAGGGGGGGGGAGAGGGAGGGGGAGTGGGTGGTAAGGGAGGGGGTGGGGCAGGGGGAGAAATGACCAAGCCTTGTATGCACATATGAATAATAAAAGAAAAAAAAAAAGAAAATGTGGTATCTATACACAATGGAATTTTATGCAGCCATGAAGAAGAACGAAATGTTATCATTCGCTGGTAAATGGATGGAATTGGAGAACATCATTCTGAGTGAGGTTAGCCTGGCCCAAAAGACCAAAAATCGTATGTTCTCCCTCATATGTGGACATTAGATCAAGGGCAAACACAACAATGGGATTGGACTTTGAGCACATGATAAAAGCGAGAGCACACAAGGGAGGGGTGAGGATAGGTAAGACACCTAAAAAATTAGCTAGCATTTGTTGCCCTTAACGCAGAGAAACTAAAGCAGATACCTTAAAAGCAACTGAGGCCAATAGGAAAAGGGGACCAGGAACTAGAGAAAAGGTTAGATAAAAAAGAATTAACCTAGAAGGTAACAAACATGCACAGGAAATTAATGTGAGTCAACTCCCTGTATAGCTATCCTTATCTCAACCAGCAAAAACCCTTGTTCCTTCCTATTATGGCTTACACTCTCTCTACAACAAAATTAGAAATAAGGGCAAAATAGTTTCTGCTGGGTATTGAGGGGGGGGGGAGGGAGGGGGCGGAGTGGGTGGTAAGGGAGGGGGTGGGGGCAGGGGGGAGAAATGACCCAAGCCTTGTATGCACATATGAATAATAAAGAATAAATAAATAAATAAATAAATAAAAATAAAATACTTTGAAAACAAAAAAAAAAAGAAATAGCAGTCACTTGAAAAACTCCCCAAATACGAACTTTGCTCCTTAAATACTATTTCATTGTATCTAAGGTAAGGATTGAATTAAGTCAAGTATCTAAAGGAAAAAAGAGAAAGATTTTGGTGGACTTTTATGATTTTAAATGGAACATATGGTTATCCCTAAGTGTGACTCTTGTAATCCAAAATTTTTAGGGAAGTCCTAAATTCACCTCAACTCTCCTCTTGTTAGCCAAAGAGAGTCTTCATTCAGCAATTATGTTATCGAAACTCTGCTCCTAGAAGAATCACAGTGAGACCAGAAATACCTTTTATTATCAGCAGTGAGGGTGACTGAATTACTATTCAGTAGGGCTCATTTTGTTATCATGCCATGTGTTTAGGGAAGGAACAAATGCTCAGAGACAAAAGTCATGGCTGGACTATGAAATTTTGTTCTCCAAAAAATCCTCCAAAAGGTCTTCTGGGTTAAGGGACATTGGCGCTGAATTTCTGGAACTTCTGAGGCTCTCTGGTGACCACTGGAGAGATGGCCTACAAAATTTGAACTTGAGGCCCATGTGGCAGGGTTTGTTAACTTCTTCAGAGACTATGTTAGGGCAGAGTTCATTGTAGGAGGGGGATAATACTCTGACTGGGGAGTGTGACATTGACCATGGAATCCATTTATGTTTTAATTGATCTCTTAAGAAGGAGGGTGGCTCTCATTTGGAAGACTTGGAGAGGAAACATGGCCCAGATAGTTATTGTGAACTAGAGATTCCAGAAATTGTATTCTATCAGTCGGACGTTAAGGTAATAAATTCTTGTCCCATTCTTCCGTACTACCTAGACCATCCTGTTTCTTTTCTCTTCTCACCTGGGTTCTGTGGGCTTGTTTCTATGATAAAAGTATGCATTCAGGAAATTCTAGAATAAATGCTCAAACCAAGTGACTGTGTGGGAGCAGGAATTCATGTACTTGCCACTGAGCCAAAGAGACACAGAAACTTACAGCATTCTGATGGACTAGCCAGATTGGAGATGACAATTTTCAAACAAAGGTAGAAATTACAGAAAAAAGACAATATAATAAAATACTTCTAACCCAGTCTACCTGAGGATAAAGCGCATGGAGACATGGTGAAAAAGCTTTAATTATCTGTATGAGGTAAATAAAAAATATAGTTATAGGATGCCAGCTTGATATGACATATAGGGAGGCTTGTTACTTTCAGATCATTGTGATTGACTCTTTCAGAAAGGCTTGGATAGTACCTACAGATGAATGGTGCAAAGTCACCCAGGGTAGCAATCGAGAGGTGCTGCTGATGACATCCTTTGTTCCCCAGTATCTTTTGGTTTAACTGCTACAGACCCACTCCTTGAGACAGTGTATGGAATCAGTCCTTTGGAGGCACTTTCTTCAGATGATCAGTGGGGAATCCTTTAGAGTGGTATCTAGAGTAGGCAACCTAGTTCTTTGTAGGTAAATTATAAAGAAGGAAGGAAAAGGCTTAGAAAGGACAAGCTGGGTGAGGCCACATGCAGGGCACTGCAAAGCAGACAAGGGAACTGAGGGGCCTGGATAGTACATCTTCCATTTGGCCATCTAGATTCACCTTCCATTCTTTTCTGAGCTCTGGGAGTTGACTGCCATGGACCGTAACATTTAGCTTCTCTTGCTTTCTGACTGTTTGTTGAATCTGTCTACTGGCATGCATGTCAGATCCCAAGAGGGCAAGAGAAAGAAATCTATGTATATAGTCTCCTAGCTCTTTCTTTGACAGGTTTGGTGGCAGCTTCCTTTCTTCAATTAAAGCTAGAGATCCTATTCTGACACCTTTTTCCCGTGGCAATGGCTCTTCCTGTGTTCCAGTAACAAAAGCTTCGTATTGCTGTTAGTCCTCAGGAGTGTCATCCCCTGTGGAGGCTTCCTTAACCCTGCATGCATCTTTGAAAACCTTCAGTGTTCCTTTTGAGTATGTAGTGTGCAGGACCAAACTGATACCAGGGCTGGTGTGTAGAGAGAGAAAGCAGGAAAGCGCCAAGATCAAACACTGGCTTACTTCTCAGCCCTGTGAAAGACCAACTATTTTCAAGTCTGCTTCAACTGTTAGATAAGACCCAACTTGTAATCAGTGTCTGGTTTGTACATAAAACAATGGTGAAGAAGCTACCTTTAAATTGTTTATTACTGATCTGCCAAATCCTTTCTTCACAAATAGTAGAGAAGGAAATGCTTGGGATAGGAATAACTAGATGACTTCTAAAGTCCCTTCTGAGGGGGGAGAAATGAACCAAGCCTTGTATGCACATATGAATAATAAAAGAAAAATGAAAAAAAAAAAGAATTATAAAAAAAAAAAACCTAAAGTCCCTTCTGAAGCTCTGCTGTTGTGTATAATGAATAATGATTCAGCTCGTAAGTTCTAAATTAGGAGTCCAATGATTAGACTAAAAACTAGCCTTAAAGACTAAGACTTATGAAAAGTGGTTAAGAATATTAATAGTCTAGGTGAACTGCACAGTGGAGAGAACTTAGTTAGATTTTGAATCTTAAAAGCAGGGCTCTCAAAACCCTTCTCTTGTTCTTCTCATTGCCCTTATGAGATAAGAAAATAGACTCTTACTCAATTTCTGTTAGGAAGAAATAAAGACAAGACCTTCATTTCAAGGCTGACAAGGCTGGTTCAGTTAGATACCTCTTCCAGGGTTTGACCATCTTCCCACAATAGGTTGAGTGAGCAGAACATACCTAGAGGTGGGCTTGCAAGGACATACCTGATTAAATCCAGGAAGGCATCTGCAGCAGTCACCTGTACAATTTTGCCTTCTCTGTACATGTTTTCCTTTGTGCCCTTCCCGGGATGGATGATGATGACAATGATTATGCCAATCACCACAGCAATGATGGTGGTAGTCATGTAATAGACTACAGCTCGCATTCCCATCTTCCCTGATGCCTTACTATCTAGAGCCGCCATTCCTGGGGAAGGCAAACAGAAGATTTTCAGGAAGTCAGTCCAAGGGATTCTTCAGTGGAAGACAATGGGAACAGCCTTTCCTTCTACACTTCCCCTCTCTCCTCCCACCTAGTAATGCATATTATGAGAACTTGGCCCCAAATGTAATCAGGAGATTACAGAAGATGAAGGGAAAAAGCCACAGGATGGCCAAGCATCGGCTGTGTCAGTGAACATGTGATCACCAGTTTTCTGCCCTAAGAATTTATTTCAGGTGGCCAGATAACATCTGCTCTTTAATGGTTTGATTGTGCAATTGATTTCTCTTCTCAATTGCTATTAGTTGGGGAAACTGTAAATGTGAATAGCAAGGTGTGTGTGTGTGTGTGTGTGTGTGTGTGTAAATACTTAAAAATTTTTCTGGCAAGATAATCTAAGTTTATTCAAATTCAGGACTGTGGTGATTCACATAGATTGATTGTTATTGAATTCTTTCCAAATAATTTATTCTCAATATGTTTTGGGTGTCTTTTTGATGTCTTTTACATAAAATTTAAGTTATCATTCTGATCATCTTCAATCTACTTTCAATTTGTATTTTAGGAAAACATTGGGTTCTAGAGCCAAACTTCTCATAGTTTCTCTGCTGTTTCATTTCATCCCATATAACCAAACTTAAAAAAATATTTTGGTGGAGTTCTTCTCATTCTTGCCACCTGTTCTACAGTTCTAGGATACCTCCTCATGTGTTAAAAATACCTCTTCCCCTTATTTTCAAGGTATCTTCAAAGTATACCTAAAGCAAGGTCAAAGTATTATCCTATGTGAAAAGAGAGGAAAGACTTAATGTTTCCCCAATGAGGCTTGCTAATGGGGCACATCTCAGTGCCTTTGGGGCTTGAACACAATCAGAAACACCACAAAACTCTCAAAAGGCTAAATTGTCTATAATAAAGCAGGCTCTTTGTTTTCATCAGCTGTTTCCTCACTTTTCTTCAGTCTTTTTCCTCTCCAATTCCATTATAAAAAATCCAATTATAGTGTAATCTAATTACACTCAGACTATTTTCTTTAGTATTTAAAATTGTGTTTCCATAAATGTATCACTGTAATGATAGGTCTCAGATTCTAATGGTTGGTTAATATTTAGATAGTGATTATGTTCACATAAACACACTTAGAGTAAGGTAAATATATGCTTGTCAGGTAAATGGTTGGACTTGCCCAATACTGTTGATACAAAGGTAATTGAAGGGGGAAAATAAAATGACTTTCAATTTATAATTTCACTTGTATTTGAATCATGTCATTTATAATTTTCATAGCATACATTTACTTAGTATCTGACATTTTTTTAAACAATAGCCTGTATGGCAGATTAAAAAGTAAGTAAGTAAAAGTTTAAGATCTTAGTTAACCTTAAGTAGAACTGAGTGGGAACTCAAACTCAGATATTATGTAACTAAACTTAATAAAACTTTCTGCCCCAGAAAAACCAACTGCAGCTCCCACAAAGGAGGTGGCCAACTTCCAGCTTTAAATGCATAAACTTAACCCACTCTCTTGAGATCCAGGGTTAAGTGTGAATTTATTGAGATGGCACCACTTCAGTACTTCAACTACATTATAAATGGATTAATCTGATTTCAGTCAAAGTGTCCCATCTCTCCATTTTCATTCTCAGGTCTGAGTCACATGTCAAAATATCTTGACTTTGCTGTGTTTGCAGTGATTTCTCTAGAAAATGGCTCACCCTCTCTCATGACTGCCTGAACTTGTCACCAAGAAGCCTGCAATTCTTCTGTTTTTTTTTTTGCCCTGTCCACCAGCAAGTGGTCTAAGTAGAATAGGCCAGATATCCATGCTAGGAGCTACCAGGCAACAGTAATTTCTTCCTCTGAGACGCTTTCTGGCCCTTTTGCCTCCTATTCTGTGGTGCTGTTCCATTATCAGTTCAACTCTTCTCTGATGTTCTTGCCCAATATGGTCGACCTATAGCTATTCAGAAAGAACGCTAGTAGTCCAGACAGCACTGGACCAAAGTGGCAGTCAAAGGAGGTTTCTGTCTCCCTCCCCAACCATGGTCACTGGGATGGGGAAAGCTATTCCAGTGCCCACAGCTGTAGGGCTAGCAACCCTTGGAAATAAAGTTTATAAATTTAAAAAATGAAAAACACCAGGAAAATATTTTATCCATACTGTCTAATTCTGAAACAGCTGAAGAAAACTATCAAAAGGTATTTTCTTATTAATGATCACAAAAGGAGAATCAATAGTCTAAGGAGAGGCCTCATCCACCTCTGTTTATTGGGCCTTTTCTTTGAAAGAGAGTAGGTTGCTATTGTTTCAGCCAAGGAAGGGGTTGGGTATTTCATTAAGCAATTCTCCATGTCGGTCCTTCTCGAGGGGGTTCTGATGTCCCACACAGGACTGCTTGCTCACCTCTGCTCCAGGGGTATTCCAACTTGTAAAACTAAAGAGACCACCAGCAACAAGGCCATGTACATTTGTCACCAGGACAACTGCAGATGTGTATAATCTGCTATGCACACAATGGCCTTGATACTGGTGGAACCAGGAAAACCAAGGAAGAGCTCTGGAAGACAAAACTCCAAGTAAGCAGGGCATTGTTCTTCCTCTCCCACACCTGAACTATGTGACCATCCCCTTTCCCCAACCTTGTGAAATATGAGAGACTAAGCTCTACACCAAAGACTAAATACACATGTCAGAGTGTCTGGGGCAAGGCTAAAGCACTAAATCACATTGTAGAAAAGGGAACTTAGGCAAAAATACCATAAATGTTTGGGAAAGGAAAGTTTGCACTGAGCCTTGTCACTTACTTTAAAATTTAGGAGAGAAAAGGGCACTGGGTAGTGGAGAGATTGGTAATCTCTTGGGTATGGAGGTGCTCGTGGGAGTGTGTTACAACAACCATACATTCATCTAAGTCCATACTTGAGAAACACATTCCAAAGTAAGTAGTGAAGATAATGATCTTACTGGTCTCTTTTTCTTCCTTGGATCTGGGCTTAGCTAACCCAGCCCCATTCATCTTTACTATGAAAACAACCAGCCATCAGAATCATGACCCTCTTGAAACCCAAAGAAATCCTATATCATTTTATCACTGAAGTACCATGATGGCTCTTCTAGTTACAACAATATTGTTGTATGTTTTGCATATTTTGAGTCAACTTTTATGCTGGTCCACAGACTCACTCACCAAGTCCTGCCTCTGACTGATGGTATATGTTCATTGATTTGATGACAATTGTATAATGCAGATATATTGATACTATTTACAGATTGAGAAACAAGAGACCAAAGAAATTAGGTAACTTGCTCAGTGCTGCACAGTTAGTAAATAGCAATTGCAGGATTCAAACTCACACTTCCCAAAGAGTATGTTTACTGCTATACCTCTCTCCTTATGGAAAAGCGAGGAGTTGCCCACATTGCACTTGCTTGTTATCCATGCTGACTTTTTCTAGCCTTCTTGCATTGAGTTCAAGGTTGAGATGAATTACTTGGCTTGAGGAAAATTCTGTGGAGGGATGTAATTGTGAAAAGCATCTGTCTAGTTCTTCTACATTCCCTAAACCTACCTGGAGGCTGAAAATAAATAATTCCAGTTACAAGAAGGAATAGCTGAAGATAATATGTCACTGAAAATTCTTCTCTATTTCTAGAAAAACAGGCTAGGACATGCACGTTCAAATGAAGGGTGGAGAGCCATGAATTCTGGCTGCCTGTGAGCATTTGAATCTTATTTTCCTTTCTGAAAATCTACCCATGAGTAACCAGTCACCCACCAAGCAACACCGTCTGCAAACCAATTATATGTCCACCAATGAGTTAAGCACCCAAAGAGACCGAACAGAATGCTTTCTAGAATATAAAAGATAAAAACTCTTTCAAATACCTGGGTATTTTAGGCAGTAGGCATTTAGAAGAGAGGCGAGGAAGAGAAGAGAATTTCTTGGAGCAAACATGTAACTACTTCTTTTATTTATGAAGACAGTCTTTTGGTAATCAGTGTAACACAACAAATATGCACCAATTCATGGGATTTTTTTTGAGGGGGAAAGAAAGGAGTGTTTCATAAATATGTATGTAGAGCTCTGTAAGTCTGTATTGTAAATTAAATTTCTTTTGGTATGATTATTGTCATGACTTCTTGGATAAATAAAACATATCTTCAGCCAAATATTAAAGGGTAACAGAAATAATGCCAAGTTCCCAGAGTGCCATCATTTGCATGAATTTTACTCTCTCCGCTGCTGAAAGGTCTACATCATAAATTAACGTGTTTCAGTCTACTTTCTCCCAACAATTCCTGTCTCTGGTTTTGAAATATGAAATTTAAAGAAGCACCCTTCTGTTTTGAATTGACTTTCCACGTATCCTCATGATGCTCCATTGTTCCGCCAAGGCCCCTGGACCAGGCTCAGAAAGAAGAAAAAGGCGATGGCAGATGCTGATTCAAGAAGATTGTTCTGCTTCGGTTTTTAGTTCATTTTAGATTTACTCCTTCTCCACAATGCACTTCTCAAATGCATCTAATGAAAGCCGCCTGTTCTCATCCCTTCTAGAATTTCAAGATGGGCAAACTTACAGCAAGGAACTCAAGGATGAGCATTAACATGTACCGTATTCATGGGAATACAAGGTGATGGAGTTTTTAAGATAGGAAAACTGAACTCTAAAAACACAATGTACTTCATATTTGCAGATTGAGAAGTGGGCCCCTGTGTCCTGAGTAAATGCCTATTTTTGGATTTAGTGAACACAGTCACTCCAGAAAGGAGAGGAAGCCAGAGGGCCCAAAGCACCAAGCAAATAACTTTTAATCTCTGTCTAAAACTATATAAACATTTTCTACATTACAGTATTTTCTTTTGGCCTCTTTATAGAGACTAGTCTTGTAACAAACCAAAAAGTTCTATGATTCTATGGGTTCTGGAACTGAAGCAAATCTTTAAAAGTTAAGTTCCAAGTTGTTAGTAAAGAATGATTGTAT